CGCTCTTGTCTTTCGCGGCTTCTCTCTCCTCCATGTCGAGGCCGGCCAGGTCCTCCCAGGATTCCTCGGGCTCCTGGTGGTGGTCGTCGCCCGGGTTGCCCCCCCGGCCCCGCTGGCTTTGGGGGGGCGAGGGCGGGCGGTTCTGCTGCTGCTGCTGCTTGAGCCGGCTCATCAGGCGCGAGATGAACTGATCTCGGGGTTTGTTGGCGGCCGAGCGGCTCTCCTCCCTCTGCTGCTGCTCGCCGTCCCTCCACTCCAGCCACACGTCCCTGTAGGTCGGGGGGAGGAGCTGGTGCACCGACTGAGTGGGGGGAAAAAAAACGCGGGCAGATGGGTGATCTGGTGCAGTCTATGGTCGTCTCCCGCCTTGACTATTATAACGCAATCCTGACTGGTGTCCCAGCCTGTACGGTCTTTAATCACTCTGGTCTGGTCTACTGTCTGGTCTTCAATCAGCCCAAAAAGTCTCACGTCACTAGGGATGAGGATCGAAACCCGGTTCTATCAAGGACCCGGTTCCACTTTTTTCAAAACCCGAAAATCAATAACGTTTGGGCTTATCGATACCACTATCGAGTCTGGTCGTTTTTTTTTTATTATTACAATAGTAATAGTGAAATCCGTGTTGTAATCGGCAGCATACAAGCTAGTTAGCTTGAAAAGTAAATAAAAGTTTCAGACGTGCTGCGTGATGATGTGTTCAGATTGGCTCAGTAAAAAAAAAAGTGTAGTGTAAAGAAAAGGGAAATTGAGTTTTTGGCGAGGAACATGAGTAATACAGTTGTATATTGCTCAAATTATTTTAGAATATATAATTAAACTACTGATGCCAACATTTATTAAAAATTACATTTAATTTAAAACACAATTATTTATTTGTTAAATATTGTCGCATCGTCTTTCTACCAAATAACAGAAAAGTATCGATAGTGGTATCGATAAAGACTCGGATCGATAAAGAGCATCTCCTATCCTAATCCTAACCCGTACCTCTACCCCCCCACAGCTCCTTCTGTAGTCCCTCTACCTCTATCTCTATCTCACCACTGACTCTGATCAGTGTTTCTCCTCTGTACAGCTTATTGTCAAAGTGATGATAAATGTAATATTGTGTCTACTCTGTAAGTCGCTTTGGATAAAAGCGTCTGCCAAATGCATAAACATAAACATAAACATGATCAGACAAAAAAGAAGACTTGTCGGGGAGGCGTTACCTGTCCTTTGACCAGGTTGTAGAGGGCCAGCGTGGCCCCCAGGTGCTGGGCCTGCATGCTGTCCTCGGTCACGATGGTCGGGCAGACTTCCAGGACGTCCTCCGCTCTCTGGACACGCACCCTGACCAAGCACAGACACAATAACATGAAGTGGAATCGCATCAGCTGTCCTTTTTTGCCTGTTGCTATCTTTGTTATCTTTCCCCTTCCTTGCAACCCCCCATCCCTCCCTTCCTTATTTATCCTTGATGATGTGATTTGACTGTATCTGTGCTTAATTGTACTGAGGTGTTTTTTTTTAAATCACTGTTACGTCCCCTGTAGGGGGCGTGGCACTGGGCCTTTTTTCCCCCCCTCTTCCCGCAACCACTTTCCTGATGTATCTTTGTTCTAAAGAAAACACTATGTGCCTATAAGAAGAAAAGCCCTATGTGGCTGCCCATGGTCTTCCCGAACTGGTGTGTCTATGTGTTTTGTTTGTATGATCTTGGTACGGGCTGTACTGGAAGTTAGTTTCTCGTTGGAGATCAATAAAGTATTCAATCAATAAAAAACACACACACACATACGCTTACCTGCATCTCCAGTATCGCCCAGCAGGAACCTTCTGAAAAGCCGGCTGGGGGCTTTTGGGAAGGTTCTTCCGGACCCAGTCGATGAGGAACTGTTTGGGAGACTTCCCCGTCCAGCTCCGGGCCGTGTAGTCAAAGTCCCGGACGTCCTTGGGCTCGTTCTTTTTCACAACTGGGAAAACAAAAAGGAAGAAACGGTCATCATTTGAAGACACCCCACAGCGTTCCGCACACACAGCCTGAATCTGAGGCTCTGAAAAGCTGAGGATTTTCTGAGATGATGCCGATGCTTTGAGCCTCCGTGAGCCTTAATGGGGCCGATGTGTTCGGGGGTCTGACCAGAGAAGCTGACATCATGCGAAACCGATCAGGGCCAATGAGAAACTCAGATTCAGTCAGACTAATTCAAACACATAAAACGCTTTCCAGTCTTCTGGGACTGTATGTCCACCTTTACTCATGTGGGAGGAGCCTATAAAACCCATTTTAAGCAGCAATTCAGATGATTTTTTTTGTGTTTAAGGTGATTTTTGTGCACACAGAGTCAAACCCAACGCGACATTACAGTTTCACTTTGCTGAGAAGCTGTCAGGTGTACCTTTCTCGGCCGGAGGCGCCTTCTCTGCTTTTTCAAACAGCTGGAAGCCGAGGCCTTCTTTGTCCTCATTGACCGGGAGCATCTTCTTCTCCTTTTGAGGTAAATCCACCACTTTTAAGGCCGGGTTGAAGACGGGGTGAGACTCCAGCTGTTTCATCTCTGCCCAGAGAAAAACGTGTGCAAAAAGATGTTTAGAGAAAATGTTTTTTTTCAGACCTGGCTGCTGTTTTTACACACATATGGAGTGAGATTAAAAGAAAAAGTAGAAGGAGAAGGAGTTCACCCTGCTGTATGATCCGTATTCTGTCCTGTGCCATCCTCTGGCCCGCCTTGTCTCCTTTGGACTTGGTGGCGGCTGCCATTTCTTTAGTGTCGTACAGTTGAGCAGTAAGGATCAAATATCTGTCGTTCTACGTGAAGAAAAACACAATATTGTTCATTTAAAGACCATAAAACGGTGACTGAGTGCTGAAAACAAGCAGCGAGCTAAAATGAAAAATGGTGCTAAAAGAACCCTTTTTGTCTGATGCATTTACTAATAATCTACAAAACCACAAACTTCAGTTATCCTTCAATTTTTCATTTACTTATCTTCTAATTATGAAAAAGAAAAAGGAAATCTGAGTGATTATTAGGCAAGAAACTCACAACTGAAGAAAGCTCCATTTATTCTCATCTGTTTGAACTAAATATATATTCACAATCATCTTTTGTTCATTAAAAATCCCAAAAAGTCTAATCAGAGATGACCGTTAATCCCAAAACAAGTCATAAATTGGTCTTAGTTTACTTACCGGATCGAACTTTTCATCCAGTTCAGGATTGCGCTTCTTCTTCCCCTCTTCCTCCTCCTCCTCCTCCTCCTCTTCTTCGCTGCTCTGCTCGGCGTACCGTAGGATCCAATCCTTCACGGTGGCCTCCTCATCCTTCTCTGTGACCTAACACACAACACACAAACTTAAAGCCGTCTCCACTCACCAACACATGCAAAGAGGATCTCCGCACACAGACCTTGGGGGTCTCTTTGGGGGTGTTCCGGGGCTCTTTGGGGCTCTGAGCTGCAGGTTTGGGCGTGGGAGGAGGCTGGTATTTAGGCCGGCTCTTTTGGTTCTCCTCCTGCAGCTGCTGGCTGAAACCGTCTGGTAACTCCTCTGGTATAACAGACGGTAAATGCAGAGACTCAGCTAGAGGAATTCCTTCCTACCTAATGCTAAAGTGAATACTGATGCTCTATTACCATCCTGGAGGTTGAGACAGAGCCAGTCCAGGGCAGAAAGGAGATCGCCTCCATATAAGATGCTGCTCTTCATTGCCTCTTCGATGTGTTCTCTCTTAAATTTGAACTTCTCCAGAGCGGTGTATAGGTCCTGGAAGGACAGAAAAACACAATACCAGTCATGTATAACATCAAAACTCTGTATGTATAAAGAAAAAAGAAGTATCAGAG